GGTACCTTTTCTTTGTTCTAGTGGGACATTTTGGGTTATTATGTCTGCATTATGATAATTCTGAGCTGTAGAAGATTGGATTATGAACTAAAATTACAAATTGGTGCACTGTGTAACTTCTGTGGTGGAGGGTCCGTCAAATGCTTTTCTCCATGGAGATGTTATTGCTTTGCTGGAATGTTTCACAGTATGGCATTAAACCTTTCTATCTTACAAAGGCTTAAGTTATAGGTCAGATCTGTGGAGAAGCAAAGAAGCCCACAGTCTCAATGCCTGTTTTTCAAGGTATTTTTGAGCTATAAAAACACCTGTAATTGAATAAATGTAAAGTAAAGCTATTTAATGTCATACTGCGGAACATTCCAGGCACAGCAATGACATATCCATATAAACAAGCTGTACCCCCAACCATAAAGTTACACAGTGCACCTTTAAGTGTAAAACTGTAGACTACTTTTTAAATAATAATTCTTTATCTAATATTATTTTTTTATCTCTATTTTTTCACTTCACGTCAAAATGTGATATCATGACAGGCTTAACCGACTGTATGTGTTTTGAACTGTAATATGGCGCATTCATGTTTTTCTATGCGGTTCTTTCCTCGAGGCAGTGCACACCTTGAGTGATGGGTAGACAGTTAGTGCCCCGGGACCTGCTTTGATTACCCATGATCACTTGGGTGCATTGGGACAAATGGATGGCAGCCTCTTTTTTCTAAACCCATTTTCAAAATTGCATCTACCTTTGCTCTTTCATACCCACTGGCAAAGAAGGGTAGAGGGTTTTTTTTTTTTTCTCACTCCCCATCTGCACTAAAACAGCTATATTTATAGGCTGTAGCTAGCTTTTTAGAGCTTTGAGGCTTAATTACCCAGAAGACGAGCGGCAACGCGAAAAAGAAATCTAATTATGCAACAGTATGCGATGGATACTGCACGGCAACCAATCAGAACGCAGCTACTTTTACCGTTTACGACCTTTAGAGATATTTGAGTCTTTTTTTTTCCTCCTCTCTGCTTCCCTCTGATCCCCCCTCTGAACCTTGGAACTGTTTATTTACGGTTTCTAATCTACTTAAATAAGAGAACTGTCATTTTGTCCCCGTTTTAGAAACACCTTTGCTGAAAATCCCACATGATTTTGTACAACATGAAGGACGCCGCGTGGAAAGGGCAGAAGTAATGATTCGTTTTATGCTTTATATATTTACCTAATGTTGGCGTGCCCTAAAGCGACTATGATAATTTCCCTGGGAACAGCTGCTCTATGTCAAGCGGAAAAAGAGCCGGCAGCGTTCAAAACAATGCACATGCACATGGTGGAGTCAATTACAGACAGTGGTGGGGAGAATACAGGAGATTTGGACTCAGCTGAAAGTACAGTCGCATACTAAGAAGAACTGGGACTATATATACAGTAAATAGTGCAAGTTTCTAGTTTCCAGTTTTGACATCATGAGTTTTTATTCATTTTACAGCATAATTTTGTTGCCGTTCTAGTACTGCTTTGTTGATAATCTTAACAGGTTTTCTGTCTATTTCGATTCTAAAAACATGGGTGGAAAAAAATCTCACGAGATCATTTTCACCGTGTACGATCTTGTTGCAATTTTGTCTCACGAGATCTTGTCAAATCCCGAATACTAAGGTTAAAGTCCTGGTTTGGGCCCAGTTTGAGTCCTCATTTGGTTTGGTCCTGTGCTAATCCGGGTTTAGTCTTTGTTTAGTCCTGGTCAGTGTAGTGGGGATTTTTTAAGTGGAGGTACGTGATTCATGACTGAACCAGGAAGACTAAAGGTGGACTGAACCAGGACTGAACCAGGTCTAAACCAGGACTAAATCAGGACTAAACCAGGACTAAACGAGGACTGAACCAGAAATGAACCAGAAATGAAACAGGACTGAACCAGGTCTAAACCAGATCTAAACCAGGACTAAACCAGGACGAGTCTTGGACTGGAGAGCAAGAGAGAGAACCCCGAAAGCACGATCGGCCGACAGCTGTGCTTCACCCCATGGGGCATTGAGCTCTGCACTGGTTCTTTCACCCACGATCACCTGATGGTCTACGGGAGCGCTCCTCGGGGCCCGTCCCGACACTCAGTCCTGGTTCAGTCCTGGTCCCTCATGTCTCAGGTCTCAATAGAGCAGTACTGCAGATATGTTTTCACCATTGCCAATAGCTCCGGTTTGATATTTAAGTTGTAGCTATTTTATATTTGTTATTTTTTTATATCTCACATCGGGAGAAGTGGGTGGACCCTGTACCCCCGCATACCACGCCCACTACACCCCTGGTCCTGGTTTAGTTCTGATTTTGTCTTGATATTATCCTGGTTTAGTTTCACATTTAATCCCAGTTTTGTACTGCTGCATTTGTCTAGTTTTTAGGATAGTTTGTGTTTGCCAAAACTTGCACTCACATAACTAATGATATTTTGCAGAGACATCATGCTGTGGGGATCTACATGTATGTTTGTTACAGAATTTTCAGCAATTACCATGGAGACACAATGCACACATACTGCACACTGCACTTCAAAAGACTGAAAACTCAAGACAAATTTTGATTTAAACGGATTTAAACAGATTCTCTTTGGTCAGATCGTGTTAAAACAAAGCTCAGATTAAAGTCAGACCAGGGCCTTTACTTAGTATCACATCTCCAGGGAATTTTGATGACATCAGCTGCAAAGTATCAATAAACCCCCCAAGTTTCTTCCCTCCTGGATAACTCATTTTGGTTTCCGAGATTAGACTCTCTTCTCCTGTGAGTATCAGCAGTGAAAATCCCTTTAGCTGAACATTTTAAGGGCCCTTGTGTGTGTATCTCCTGGGCCCATTGAATATTACACAGAGGGAAGGTAGGACAGAGTACACAAAGACCTCTACATATTTATAGATTTATTGTGTACAAAGAAAGAAGGTGTACAGTTTTAGAGTTAGTTTAGAAAGTAATCTCCAGAATACTGCGAGGAGTTTCCTGGCAATTCTACACTCATCTTAGAAGGTTATTGGGTTTTATCGAGAGTCATTGAAAGAACATGAAGCTTTTGGAGTTTATCCCACTTATTTAAAGCTGGTGGCCTAACATAAATTTCGAACACCAACTGAGTGACGGAGTTTTTGTCCTCTGATCTGAAGTTTGACAGTTCAAATCCCTCTCACGACATAAACATCATTGGTGGAGCGGTCAGATCCACTATAAGTGATGTGATTGTAAGGCTATGTTTATACGATGACAGTCTGAACAGAAAACGCAAAAGTGGTGTCGCATCTTCACATTTTATTCCTCTTTTAGATGAGCATTTTTGGAAGAAATCGGCATGCATACAGTGACGCAAAAGTTTGTGGAATCTCAGGTCTCGTCCGTAGTCATCTGGCTTGCCTGCGATGAACTGGTGCATTCAGAATTTGACAGAGGTGATTGCAGATCCTTCTCTTCACTAATAATATCTCTGCATATTCTGTACATTTGTTGGGATGCCTCCTGTAAGTTTATCAGAGCACGGAAATTATTCGATTCATTTGTTTCTGTGTACTGTATGTATGTGACGTAAATGTGTATGTGACGTGAGCAGATCTGACCAGAGTTTTGCGTCTTAGGCAGTATAGACGGAAACGCAACGGTGGAGCATTTTCAACTTTTCCACTCTAGAGGGTGGTTTCAGATTTTTGTGTTTTTAAGCCCCAAAAACGCAGTTGAAATGTCGAAATGAAAGGCACTTCTGATAAAATATTTTGTCGTTTTTACCCGCAAGCGTTCTTATGTAAACAGGCCCTACCTCCCACAGATGAATGCTGTCGTTGTGTCCTTGGGCAAGACACCCAACGCCCCTCACCCCAAGCGTCTGCGTACACTGGTGTATGAGTGTGTGTGTTAATTGGTGAGAGTGGTTCTTTGACGTAAAGTTCTTTGAGTGCCTTGAAAGTGGAAAAGTTTTGGTGATGTGGCAGTCGGGAGATATGGCCTCATTTCCTTAATTTGTCAAGCATTAAGAATATCGCACATTTTGTCTCCATTTGCCGCTGTTTGCCTTTACTTCTGACGCATTAGATCGAACCACTATGTCCTCCTCCCTCTTTAATGCAATGATGGTGTCGGCTTTCAGACACATTTTTCCACTCTGTGGCCCATAACAAACACAAGTTCAGCAGAAGAGTCTTTAAACCTGTGGTTATGTGACAAATGAGTAAACATAACTTTCTATGGACGCGTATTTGCATGTACTGAAAGTGTGGCCAAATTGACTGTAAAATATAGTAATGGGAATTGTGCAATAACTGGACTGTGTAATATTTAGGACTGTGCAATGATGGGAATTGCACAATGAATGGATTGTGCAATAATGGGAACTGCGCCATGAATGGAGTGTGCAATAATGGGAACCGTGCAATGATGGGAACAACGAATGGAAATTAGCCTTAGACTACAATCCGGTGTGTTTATATTCATGTTGTGTCATTTTTGTTCATTAACATGCTCTGTCCCAATCAAATAAATGAATAAATAAGGCGGCTATACAGCATACTGTATGTGTAAATATTAGGGTATTTCCAGCACCTATAAATGAGGCTTGACAATGTTGCTTACACGTCACAAAGAATGTTATAGTACATGAATGAAACAAAGCCATGAAACTATGAGAATTTCTCAAACTTGGATTACATATATGATTAGACACAAGAGTTTAATATATGAGCATTCAACAATAGAACAGAAAATGTTACTCGATATGAGAAGGTATCAAAAATACTACATTCTAACAACATCCTGAGCTCCAGCAGAAGCAGGCTTCACAACAGTATACATTTTGAAGTGGTGATTGTGCAAGTGTGAATGCACCATAGACTTTATAAAGAAGTGGACTAAAGGAGTGTGACGTCACCCATAGCACATAGTGTAACAATACATGGCTTAATAAATACATTGGTAAAAAGAAAATCCCTTGAAATTGGCAAAAGTCTGAGATGTGTGTGTCTGTGTCTGTTCCGCAGTGTAAAGGATGTAGAGGCAGATCAGTGCAGGATGGAGTGCTCGTGGAAAACGGTGCTGCTGCTGGTGTGTGCGTCTCTGGGGGTCCAGTACACGGCCATTCGCACCCTGAAGGACTCCCTGTCTGCACCCTGTCCAGGGGCCTACAGCTGCCAGGGCCCCCATCACCGAGGTAACAGCAAACACTCAATGGGGATGTAACAATAACTGAAATATCATGATATCATATCGTCAAAAGTCTCTCAGTAATATCGTGGGCCATTGCAATACATAAAAACTTAAGTCTCTTTGCTTAAAGAGACAGTCCGAAATTTTGGACATAGGGCTTCATTTCCTAGTGAGCCAGAGTGTTGGAGACGTGTGGAGACACTTTTTTAAAATATTCCATCCTGTCCTTGTATTTGCAGAGGTCACTGGTGCTGCATGTCAATGGCCATAGTTATCCTGCCACTAAAAACAGTTTTACCCACTCCATAAAACATGCAAAGCAAATCTATTATTATGCCAGACTGTTGATGTAAATGTCTGTGTTGATAGAATAATGTTCAAAGTAAAACCAACCTTGCATTTGAAGGATTTATGTCTGAGCAGCAGCAGTGAGTTGTACTTCCTGATAGAAAGCTCGGCAGCAGTGGACTCATATCACACAGCACGTATCTTACCAGCAAATTAAAATTCCGCTGCTGCTGAAAAAATAGGCCCTCAACATGTGACAATTTATGCTATGAAAGACCTCTGCAAATACAAGGACTGGATGGAGTATTTAAAAAGTGTGTCCACACGTCTCTAACACTCTGGCTCACTAGGAAATGAGGTCCTATGTCCACAATTCTTTGTTATAATGGAGCAACAGTTAAAAGAAACAGATGGGACTACATAGACCATGATCCTTTGCTCTGTTTCAGTCCAACTTACACAATGAAATAACCCGAGGCTTGCCAAGGCACTTTTAAAGAGAAATGTCATATATTCACAATTTGGTTAGCCTCTACAAAATATCACAATAAATACCGTACCGTGAGATGCATATTGTGAAAATACTGTACAAAGAAATATGGATATCTTTACATCCCTAACACTCACATGATCGAGGTAACAGCCACACTTACCGCTGTCCCATAAATAGGCCACGAGCTCTACAGCCCCATTCACACAGAGCTCCTGGTTTACAGGCCCTTTACTGCATTTTTGATTTATGTGATCATGTTGTTTCCTCCCGGAGTTGTGTTTTATTTCATTCACACATGTTTAACATACAAATCCTGCATATATAGCCTGTGTTTTTCTCTCACTGTGTTCCACTTGCTGATGTCATGTGGTGATACTTGTGCTTCACTGTGTTTTAAACTCCATACATCTTCACTAGAATCATGTGGATCATTTTAACCCTGGAACTGCCAATCTCTATCTCTATCTCTGAACAAAAGGTAAAAGGTAGCTGTTAACTTGAAAACCACCATTTCATGTCATCACAATGTGGAACAGAGAATTTTGCACTTTGAAAATGTAGGCAGACTAATAATAAAGAGTTAAACATGAAAAAAAACTTTATAAAAACAAACTCAAACATGTGTGAATGAAACAAAACAACTCTTTTTGAGGAAGTAACAGCATTAAAATGTGACTAAAAGCGTCCATTTGGTGTAATATAAGACCTTTAAATGTGTTCATAATTTTAGTTACACATTTATGGAGCCAATTCGTAACAAGAAATAATAACATTTAACAGTCGAGGGTCATACGCTTGGATATTTATACAACAGTGAGTCTCCCATAGATTTATATAGATAGAGCCCTGACATCATCAAATATTGGAAACGTGAACACAGTCTATACTTAGGCCTGTCCCTCAGACTGCAGGCGCTCTGGTGTTTGACTCATCTGAATATTCTCTGTTAATGAGGGGATGACACACAGCAAGAAACCCAGCTCCAGTATTATGATTAATTATGGAATATTATGCGCAGAACTTGGTCTATTCCAGGATTTAAGAATCTCTGACGCAAACTGTGGCACCACACTGTGAAGAAAGCTAACCAACAGCACTGAACATCACTTTCTTAGGGAATTCCCCAGTAGATACAGGAAGATATAGAAATTGAATCACTGATTCGTTTTACAATTATGCTCCAATTTATCTCCATTAATTCTGTCGGCGTGGCACAGCTGCAGCTCTCTGGCATGGAGCGCCTGTGTACAAAAGTTACATCCCCTTTGCAATCAGCTCCTCATCAGTGCTAATTACACGTTAGCTATTTGGGCTATATTTAGAGTTCCGCCGTTTCATAAAGCCCCTCGGTAATCACCACAGACAAGCAACTTACTCATGCATGTTTACCCTCTCAATTATTAAAGCAGTATTGGCTCCCTTTGCTAGTTTACTTTTTGCAATCTCAATGTTACGACCAGAATTTACTTTTAGTGTTTAAAAGTGACTAACCCTATATTACACAAAAGAGACTCTTGTGAGCTTAAAGCCTGGTTAGAAAGGAGGAGGTTGTTACCTCATCAAAAACATAAGTGGACACGTCTGAGTAATGTTTTATTATTAGTCTGTCTACATCTCCACAGCTCATAACGCTCTATGTGCTCAAAATGGCCTTGAACTAAAAAAGATATTTTAGCTTATTTCTAGCAACTGTATGAACGTATTGCTGTATGTTTTGACATGTTATCTTAGCTTTAGCTATACTGCATAGTTCAGATATTTTATACCATTCGAGAGTTCACGGTTATAAGAAAATATCTTTAAACATATAACACGGTTCAGGAAAACCTGCAGGGCAAAGCTTTCAAAGCAGTAACTTATCTGAATGCCATGTAACTGGGCTGTGCCCCAGTCAAAGCTGACATTATTATTTTATTTTCTATTCTGCTGTTATTAATGTTGTATGAAAAAGTGAATGTGAAAGTGCAGCGCACTCCTTAGGGGACAAATACAGTCTATTCTAGTCTGTACAATTCTAACAGAAAAAGAATGTTATTGGACATCACTGCATCTCTCTTGAGATGCTAAGAAGCAAATACAGTACACAGCATCAGAAACAACTGCTCTTTTTACCTTTCAAGTGAATGCAACAGAATAAAATAATGTCGACTGTCTCTGTGGCAGTTTATTCAAGTTTTTACAAATGTAACACGTTATGATAATGACACATAAGAGCCTTAATAAAGCATGAACACAGACTTGATTCATAATGAACAAATAGTTTAAGAATGATTTAGACTCATTAACTTCTTCATTAATACACTAACTCCTAATTCCTTCAATAAGTATTTACTAAACCTGAATCAAGAATTAAGTCTTTGTGTTTTTATGGCTTATTATCGTATAGTTATTATAAAGTGATACCAAAATATGGTTAACCGCATTATAATATTGCTCTTCTATGAATATTTTTGTAAATGGTCCTATCAAATATGACTGTATACCTTTTTCTCTCTGTCCCTCTCTCTTTGTTTCTCTCTCCTCAGACTCCAGACTGTTGTGTGACAGCTGGCCACCCGGGGACCTCCCTCGCCACCACATCCTGCTCTTCGCCACCACACGCAGCGGTTCCTCCTTCACGGGGCAGCTCCTCAACCAGCACCCCCATCTCTTCTACGTCTACGAGCCCCTCTACCACGTCCAGCAGGCCTTCACCAACTCCAGCAGCAGGGTCAGACGCACGCTGGACCGCAGAGCTCTACTGGGGGCTTACCGTGACCTGCTTCTCAACCTTTACACGTGTGATCTTCATTTTATGGAGAATTACATCCACCCAGAACCCCAAAATCACATGACTAGCTCCCTTTTTCGTAGAAGTTCGAGTCACGCTCTTTGCTCTCCGCCAGTGTGTTCGGAAAACCCGGAAGTAGTGCCCGAAGGTCCCGATGAAAACTGGTGTCCGAAAAAATGTGGCGCGCTCAACTTTACATTAGCGTCAATCTCGTGTTTATCGAAAGGACACGTAGCCATAAAGACGGTAAGGGTGCCAGAGGTGGGAGACTTACGCACACTGACTGAAGATCCACGCTTGGATCTGAGAATTATTCACTTAGTTCGGGACCCAAGGGCGATCCTGGCTTCACGTATGACAGCTTTCTCCGATCAGTTCAGAGCCTGGAAAATATGGAACGCTACCGGAAGGCAACCTCGCTACGTGGACTTAACCCAGATCACCAGTACTTGTAAAGACATGTCCGCTTCTCTGACAACAGCGCTGCAGAGACCGGCCTGGCTAAGGGGCCGCTACCTGCTAGTGCGATATGAGGATCTGGCTCTCAACCCCAAAGAAAAAACAGAAGATATTTACCGTTTTGTGGGGTTGGACATGGACGAGAGAGTTTTGACTTGGATTAATAAAAACACCAATAGTAATGCTGGTTCTCCGTCAGATTGGAACTACAAGTACTCAACCAGCAGAGACTCGAGAGCCACGGCGGAGAGCTGGAGGTTAAGGTTGAGTTTTGACATAGTGAGAACAGTGCAGAATCTATGTAATCGAACTCTCTCTCTGCTCGGATACAGACCTGTGCACTCAGCGGCACAGCTCCGCAACCTGTCCCAAAGCCTGGTGGAGCCAAGGACCTTCTCTCCAACACTATGATTTGGACTGTTTGTTTATTTCATCACAAAAGAAATGTGAATTCTGTCAACTGGACACTAGAGGTGAAATTCTGTAGTTCTTATGCTGCATTAAGACCGGGGCGTCAAGGCTTACAGTTTATATGCAAAGATTATGTCTGTGGTTTTGTGGCGCGAATCTGGCATTGACATGGCGCGTCTTGAGCGTTCAGGCGTCGGTGATCAAGCCAATCAAGGACGACTATCCAGTGACCTATCAATGTTATTATCCAGAAGAAGGATAAGAAAGAGAAAGACCATGGAACAAGGGCCTGGGGCCACAAACACCAGAACAAGAAACTCTACACCGAGTCATTAGTGGATTATAAATATTTAGCAGCCGCTGATCCGATAGCCAGGACTACACCAGGACTGAATCAGGACTGAGCCAGGACTAAACCAGGACTAAACTAGGTCTAAACCAGTACTAAACCAGCACTGGACCAGGACTAAATCAGGACTAAACAAGGACTGGATCAGGACTTAACCAAGACTAAACCAGGACTGGACCAGGACTAGCAGGACTAAACTAGTGTCATTAGCGTATCATTAACGGAGTATAAATATATACACGCCACAGTCGCCAAGCCAATCACCAGGACTACACAAGGACTGGACCAGGTCTAAACCAGAACTAAAAAAGGACTGGACCAGGACTGAATCAGGACTAAAAAAGGACTGGACCAGGACTGAATCAGGACAGCAGGACTAAACTGTCATTAGCGTGTCACTAGCGGAGTATAAATATACACACACCACAGTCGCCGAGCCGATCACCAGAATTACACTAGGACTGGACCAGGTCTAAATCAGGACTAAACCAGGACTGAACCAGTGCCATTAGCGTATAAATATTTACACGCCGTAGTCGCCGAGCTGATTACCTCCGCTGATGGTTTCATGTAATAAATACACTAAAGTCACTCTCACAGCCTGGTCCATCGTTCCGGGAAATGGCACTTGTTTCCAGGGCAATGCATGTCCAGGACGCGCGTCAAGTATTTTTCTCTCGTTCATCCACGGTGTCCAAGACAGGGGCGTCTAAACTCAAATACAAAAGTGTTCAACTAGAGGCGTCTAGCGTGTTTTTTGACTCCCCGGTCTGAATGCAGCATTAGTCAATGAAATGTTTTATTAGTGAACTACAGTTAATTTGATTATAATATTAAGAATTTATATGGACCAGAGCAGCGAGGAGAGACTATTAGGTGAGTTAGCTGGAGTTTTGTTAGTGACTGAACAATTAAATCTGCCTTTTCACTTATGGAGATGCTGTTTATTAGTAATTCACTGTATGTGTGTCATTTTTGCGAGATATTTATTTGAGCTTTTGTCTGTGCCACGCCCTTTTTGAGTCGATTAATTGACGCACAGGGCATGTTTTTAGTCTATCAATAATTCCGTTACTCAACTACTGTACAGCTCCACATGTATCACAGTATGTCCCGATACTAAAACAAACTATGATATACTGCGATTTATCAGTAATTACTTCTAATATTATAGTCAAGTACAGGAGAACAGTTGTATAGAATTTTTTTTTTTTTTTATTACAAACTTAAATTATGCAAATGTAACAAATTAATTCAAATCTGGATTCATTTTTGAACCAATACGAGAATCGAGCCATGAAGTATCACAATATGTCAATAAATTTTGTCTGGATAAAATAGCAAAATGTATTCACTCTTAAAACCTTTGGTCCAGTTGACAGAATTCAATTTATTTATTTATTTTTTATTTTTTTGCAATGGAAGCTACATTGACTACTGAGGGAAAACACTGACCTGTTATTTATTATTTATTATGTTTCATTATTTATTTACATATTTATTTAATTATTTATTTATTTTATGTTGACATGTTGAATTGAATAACTTGCACAATTTGGCTTTTATGCTTCTTGTTTTGTTTTAAGTTAAAATAGGTTGAAAATCTCTTATTTGCTGCTCATGTGTTTTTTGTATTGACAATAATGGGCTTCTTCTTCTTCTTCTTGGTTGAACAAAGACATGGAGAAAGTGTCACATATTTTATTTACAAAAGAAGGATTTATGATGTTATTTGTTCTGCACAATTTCTCTTATATTGCTTTCCGTTGACTATTGTACATAGAAGTGACACGATGTTATGAAGTCTTGAATGTGTGGGCATTTTGTCAGTGTAACTCAACTTTTTAAATTTGATAAAATAAATAATTCATACATAATGATCACAGCATTATCTGCCGCAGTGTGTTGAATTTTTGCCGGAATCCTGGGAGGAAACAAAGAGCGCCAGTGAGAAATTGTCCAAATTCATTTTCTTTTATCTTGTAATCCCTCCATATTTCATCCATCTCTGGGCTTCAGCAGCACTTCACTCTGCTAACACAATGACTAAAACATACAAATGTTTCATTTATGCTGAGGATTGTCAAAAATACAGAAAATTTGATATTAAGGTACACAGATATTTTGCCTTGACATCATGCTGGGGCTTTTCTACATGTATCTCTATTGGTGGAATGTTTAGCAGTTACCATGGTGACTAGGGCTGGGTATCATTAAGAAGTTGCTGATACAATACATACCTTGGTACATAGGTCACGATATGATACATACCTCGATACAGTGAGCTTTCGATTCGATACATCGATTCGATACGGTTCAGTAAAAAATAATGGCTAAATCATAGCTGTGATACTAAAAGTCTTTGTTAAACCACGTCTTGCGCAAAGTGAATATAAAACACATTCATTTTAATCACCAAAAAATGTCAAATGTGTTGCTTAAAATAGTTTCCCTCCTCTGAACAAGCAACAAAACTGTGACGCTATAACAAAATAATGTTGTAAAATATACAAAAAATAGTCTTCCCGATATATCAATACAGCAGTCCATGATATCAATACTGTATCATCACAAAACGATACGCTATATCAATATTTTGATATTTTTTCACACTCACACTAATGGTGACACAAAATTTCACGCAATATAGTAGAAGTTTAACACACAAACCCTGCATATTTAGACTTAGGAGTTCTTCTCGCAAGGAGAAAACACTCCTCTGTGTTTTTAAACTCCATTCACCTTCACTAGAATCATTTGGATGATTTCAGCTGTGGAATTGACAATTTATTCTCAATTAAAGGTAAAAAGTAGCTGTTAATTTGAAAACTACCACTTCATGACATCACAAAGTGGAACAGAGCGTTTTGAGCTTTGGAGACGTAGACAAACTAAAGAGCGTATTATAGTTCTGCGTCGACTCAAGCCGTCGCCATGTCGCCATGTCGCCATCATTTTTGATTTATGGATTATATTAAATCACCGCCACAACGTTAGGAGGCTAGGATTTAAAAATGGCCTTTGTGTTTACAAAATGAAGCGGGAAAAGTGGAGTAACGGAAATGTATACATAGCGGTGGTAGACAGGACCATTCACAGTCCTTATTGCCTGCGTCGCTTCCCCCCACTGTCTGTGTCATTTCAATGTGTAGTTATAAAATTTTGTAGGTGCATGCAGACACTCTGTGGAGGGGGATCAAAGTGACACAGACTGTCTGCATTGCGACGCGGACGATTTGACGCACGGCCATAAATTGGGCTTAATAATAAAAAGTTACTCAAGCATGTGTGAATGAAGCAAAACGTAACTCCTGGTATGATTTTGAGGAGGTAGCAATATTATAACATGACTTAAAGCTCTCAAGAGTCAATATGGGACCTTTAAACTAAATAAAATACTATTACAATAGTTCCAGCTTTAAGCCTGAGAAGTTCATGATATAAAATCTTTTTCTTTTGGCCTGTCTCTGGGCTTCAGTCACATTTTTGTCTGCTATAACACACTGACTAAAACATACAAAAGTTTCATTTGTGGTCAACGTTATAGCAAAATAAGATACTAATCAAGTGATACTAAGCAGTTGCATCAAACTGGGGATATTTTACATGTACATCTAGTGGCGTAATGTTCAACAGTTACCATCTAAAAAGCCTAATAGAGCTTCAGACAGAGCAGTGCCTTAGTTAGCATCACACCCCCAAGAAATGTTGATGACAGCAGCTGCAAAGTACGTCAAACTATACTAATCTGCGCATGTGTCAGTACTGAAAAAATGACATTAAAAGGACAAAATTTTATCTTTTTGCTTTATCAGAACTAGTATAAGACCACATGGAAACACTACTATTATTTTTTGTTGAAAATTACTACTTATAAATTGCTACACTTTGTTATTTTCATTGTGGTATTGAAATTTTTATCGAGTAGTGAGCCTATTTGAAAGCCTCTTTTGTGATTCTAATCAATACTAGAGCTTTTATTGAAAGATTTTACAGTTTTTGACTGAATTTGCATTTTATTAGAACTAGTATAAGACCACATGGTAACATAAAGAAAGAACTATATTTTGTGTTGAAAATTACTTTGAGTTTGAATTTTTCGACTGTATTTGTGAAGGATACGGAGCAAGGAAGAAAACTACATGTTTTGAGAGTAACTACCTACTATTTTGTGGTGCCAGGTATTGTTAGAGATTATACACTTCAGGTTCATGGCCAATTTTATCATTTGAAGATTTTCTGTAAATAAAAGGGAGTATTTTTCTTGAAGCCTTAAATTTGCAGAAATGTTCCGGTCTGAAAAACTGACCAGAGACAAAAGGAAACAAATATCTGAATGGAACTATATTACACAAAACTGAACTGAAGTTGTGTTTTGTTTCATTCACACATGTTTGAGTGATTCTTTGTTAGTCTGTCTGCGTCTCTAAAACTCAAATTGTTTGTGTTCTTTCTTTTTTCAAAGTAATTTAGTAGTCAAAGTTTTAAAATAGTCCAATTAATTATGTTTTTAACATGTTCTTCTTTGAGTAATTTTAACCAATAGTTTTTGATTAAAGGGAACTATGATGGGTATAAGTGAGTGTAACTTAAAAACATTTAGTAGATTGAAGTAATTAAACACTGAGAATGATAAAATCCTGTTATTTCT